CTTAATCTCTGATCGCAGGAACGAAACGTTAAAACGAACCGGGAATGAGCAAAACGATACCCACCGAGTTTCCTGACGCCGCTTCGAACGCTCAGGAAGCCGCAGTTTTCGAATCGCATACACCACACCAATCGCCAATTGCTCCCGCTCTGGACTCGGCGTCAAAATGGCGGCGCCCACAAGAAAATTCGGGGACGGAGTGCCGATACTCTGACCGTCTTATTTGATAGGTTTAGTATAATCCTAGACGTTATAGGTACACCGTGGATTGCAAGTTCTCAGTTTCACCAAAAGCTGCTTAGACTAAACTCATAGCATATAAGATATAACACCATTATTGTGTTTAGCTTCCAACATTTATTTTGAGACGTTCCTGCACTAACCAGGCAGAAACATTTTTTTACCCCTGGGTTTAGCGTTTCTTTAATGACAGCCCAATTAACTAGCCCTTTCGAACGCTCGTCCTCTCATTTCCCCCTTTTTTTTCCCCTTTTTCTGCCACCTTGCCTTCATTCCAAGTCAATTCTACAGTTCCCATCCTTCTTACTTCACCCACTCAGTTGTAGCAGTAGCTGCATCAGTAACCGATGGTTGTTCCTAATTCGAGGCGGAAAGACATCGACGCCATTATTCTAGGCACCCCGGGCACTCGTATCACAGTCGACTGAAGAAGGGGAGAATGAGCAAAAGGAAGAGAGGAAGCTCGTTCAGCCCAGATCCTCACGCTCCCCTTGGGGCCGGAAATGCTCGGTACTGGAGCAGACGACTGGCCAATCGCAAGAGAAGAACAATAGACACTGCTTCCTTTTTCGAAAGTGCGCGCCACCTATACACTTGTTTTCGTCTCAAGAAGCGCAGTAAGAAAAATTCGGCGCTTTGCGAAACATTGCCAATTTCTTACTTTGTGTAGCGACCGGCTATCTAGCTCAGTCGGTAGAGCACGAAACTCTTGGTCGTGGGTTCGGGCCCCACGTCGGGCACCAATGTGGAGAATTAAAAGACGACCACCGTCTGCAACGGTGTTCAGGCAACGACGCCGAGTTCCAGCCCGGCTACCAAGTGCGGATCTGAACACCAATTCATCGTCGCAGCAAGGAACTGTTCATGTGGTTCTTCGGCCTCAAGGTCATTCGATACCTGAGGAAATTACACTGCAAGCCGTTGCCCGACAGAACATGAACATTGACGCCGCCCTCTGCGACCCGAAGTTGATTCACGTCGTCCGATTTGAACTGAACTATGCTCGATAGGACTGTGAAAATCTTGGTTCTAGCTGACTCTATAGTTTGCCCTTCTCTTATTCATCTAAACAAAGAAATGAGTGCAAACATTTCGTTCCCGTACCCCTTTAACCCGGACTACAGCGAAAGCTGTACGAGCGCGTGGCTATGGACGTTTTTCGTTTCCTGTCGTTCTCAGTCACGTGGGCTTCGTATCTGGTATGCGGGACGAAAAACTAACGAGACATTTCAACCTGCAGGAATATGCAAGAAAATATAGGTGAGGCATAACAAGAGTATGTGACAATCACGCGTTTTCCGTGAACACCTTCCAGCGGCGTGGAGAAATTAATGCGATGTTTTAACGTACTCAAGGTGTGACGGTTTGTAGATTCTGCTGTCGGTAAAATGAAAAATGGAAGCCGTTTACAATTCCTTGTAACGCCGGTTAAAGCGCAGCTCTTGAGGAGGAAGATGGAAGCGTATTGAGGGATAGACTCCTTGAGGTCACGTGACCTAAGGGGGCTCGCGTGACGTCAAGGGGGTCACGTGACCTCGGGGGTCGCGTGACTTCAGGGGGGTCACGTGTCCCGAAGGGGGTCACGTGACCTTAGGGGGGTCACATGGCCTCAGTGGGGTCACGTGGCCTCAGGGGGTTACGTGATCTGAGGCGGGTCAAGTGAACTGAGGGGGGACACGTGACCTGAGGGGAGTCACTTGACCTGAGGGGGGTCACGTGACCTGAGGGGGGTCACGTGACCTGTGGGGGGTCATGTGGCCCCAGGGGGTTACGTGATCAGGCGGGTCAAGTGACCTGAGGGGGGGGACACGTGACCTGAGGGGGGACACGTGACCTGAGGGGGGTCACGTGACTTCAGGGGGTCACGTGACTTTAGGGGGTCACGTGACCTCAGGGGTCACGTGACCTTAGGGGGTCACGTGACCTTAGGGGGTCACGTGACCTCGCGGTTACGCCGACGCCGCTCAAGCCGGAAACGGGCCCCTAAGAGCTGCGCTCTAAAACATAGTAGGCAGCACGTAACCAAGTGAGAAAACAACTTTCTGCGACATTCAAACCGAAAGTGACGACACTCAAGGTGGCTGCGCCCCTGTGGAAAAGCTGTATATAGCTGGTCCTCCTGCAGCACGAGCCTTCGTATACTATCAAAAGCAAGGAGCACGTGCTTATAGCTTTTAAGGGGAGACAGAGTATGTAATTATATACTACTGCGGCAGCAGTTAGTGGCACACTACGGGGGTTTCGTGCTGTCTACCGCGTTCCATATCGACGCGGGCCATTTTTGGCACTCCGCCAAAAGATTTCAGATTGACGTCACGGCGCTCGACACGACTCTGACGTTACGCCGCGCATCACGTCACCTGTTACTGGGCCTCAGCTGACACCATGGTGCGACATTGTCCTGTCAAGTCAGGTTGCACAGTGACACCAGCGACTTAATGACGCCAGGTGGTACCGTGAGTCCAGTGATGTCATGACGTCATGTGACACTGTAACGTCACGTGACGATACGCCGTCACGTGACACCATTGCGGCACGCAGAAACATAAACATGAGACTGCTGATTAAGGAGACAATAAAAATGAAAGCTGTTTACAAATCCCTGTAACGCCGGTTAGAGCGCAGCTCTTGAGGAGGAGGATGGAAGCATACTGAGGGATAGGTGACTCCTTGAGGTCACGTGACCTCAGGGAGTCACCTATCACGTGACCTCGGGGGAGGGGGTCACGTGACCAGAGGGGAATCACGTGACCGCAGTGGGTCACGTGACCTCAGGGTGGTCACGTGACCTCAGGGGGTCATGTGACCTGGGGGTCACGTGGCCTCAGGGGGGTCACGTGACTTCAGGGGTCACGTGACCTGGGGGTCACGTGGCCTCAGCGGGGGTCACGTGACCACAGGGGGTCACGTGGCCTCAGGGGGTCACGTGGCCTCAGGGGGTCACGTGACCTCAGGGGGTCACGTGGCCTCAGGGTGGTCATGTGATCTCGGGGGATCACGTGACCTGAGGGGGGCCACGTGACCACGTGACTTCGTGGTTACGCCGACGCCGACGCCGAAGCCGCAAGCCGGAAACGGGCCCCTAAGAGCTGTGCTCTTAGGGGCCCGTTCGAAAGCTGTCGTCTGTTTCGTCCTCTTGTGTGTTTCTTTCGTTTTAAGTCAATGTAAAACAAAGCGTTTTCGCTAATTATGCCGGAATGGTTCTCGGGTGATAAAACGAATAAAGCTAGGTGTTGAGCTGGCGAAACCGCGGGCGTGAAATTAGGTGGACCGTGGAGCTAGGGTGCCTTCATGTGCGCTTTGATTAGGGTGATGACATCTAGCCGTTTTGTTCCAAACGCTTATTTTTAATTTTTATTCTGAAGCGCGTGAAAGAGCATAATCATAGTCAGTGCGCAGGTGAGCTGGTGGAAGTTAACCATTATGTTATTAACCCGAGATTAGGGCAAAGGGAGACAGGTGCGAGGATCATCAGTTCTATAAGAAATCAGCGTTTGTAGATCTTGCTGTCGGTAAAATGGAAAACGTAATGGACAGCACATACCCAAGTGAGAAAATAACTTTTCGTGACATTAAAACAGTCAAAAGTGAGTTAAAACTGGGTCATTACAACTGCTACAAACTGATAAGTCCGGTAGATTTGCTATTCTTGCCTGAGTCATCCTTTCAGACGAAAACAGAGACAGCTATGAACTCCTTGTTCCATCCATGGAGTGGCAACATAGGGAAAACAAGGAAGAACATGAGTGCAATCTTATAGGGACGCTGTCTGTCCCTACATATTACTTTCTCTTCCACTGAAAACATATTTCCTTCTTCTGCCCCAGCCTCGGGTTAATATCACCATGAAAGAGCGTGTCCCTGCACGCGCCGGTGGCGCTGACTGTGCTTTGGCGAAACATTGTTCTCGATGATTTCTTTGTTTGTTTTTCTTTGTTAATTCGTGCTGACGGCATCGGGTACTGCAAAGGATGGCTTCACCCTAAACCGAAGGACATTAGGCACAGTGAAGCTACACGCTTGAAACTTGAGTGCGCGATTTTAGAAGAGTTCTTCAGTGACCACAGGGCGGTGTTTGTGTCCAATAACATGTCAAACGACGTTCAGGCAGTCCCACCAGAGCCGGATAAAGGCATTTCGGGGCCCTGGGCTAAGGACGCTTCAGGGGTCCTAATGATGATTATGATGGCGACGATGATGATGATAATTCGGTCTGGTTAAGGCAATGAACCTGGGAAATACTGCAGTTTTCTTTAGTTTTTAATCAATAGAAAGTAGAGTCTATATTTTTCAGTGTCATCGACGCATTCATTACAGCTCGCGTTTGATTATCGTCTAAGGGATAACTTGTTGAGTTTCGATTGTCAACAATGATCGCTCTGCCACGTAGGCATAGACCGAAGTGCAGAACAAAACCTTTTCCATGAAAAACATATTTTATTCAAACAATCACGCACGAAATTGAATGAAAGTGCAAAAAGGTACCGCAAATATACAAGTATTAACAATATTCACAATGCAGATTTTAGCTATACAATGCGTACATATCGCATATTATACACAATGCAATGATATATCTGTGACTTGTCAGTTTCCCTACGTTGCGAAGGAACGCAAAGGGCCATCATGTTGGACCGTTTTACATGTCTCCGTGCAATAAAATGAAAGAGGGAATAAACAGCAGTGTTTGTCACGGGTGTCTTAAATACAACAATTATTAACACAACTAGCAAAAATTTGAATGCGAACTAACTTTACATTCAGAACGGCATCTTGCGGCTCTTCAAGCTTGAAAATTCAGATATCGTCTCGTCGAAAGATATCTGCCGCAATATATCCCTTTCGATAGACAAGATAGCTAGAGAATGCAACTTTTCCTCGCTGAGAGTGGAGCGAAGGCAATTCTTAATCAAGCACAACTTCGAAAATGACCGTTCGCTCTCGCAATTCGATACAGGAATACACAGGTATATTCTAAGGCCGATGGAAACATTGGGGAAAACGCTTACAATGTCTCGTTCCTGCAGAAGTCGTAAAAGTCCTCGTGCACTTGTATCCCGTAAAACGCAACTCTTCAGATAGTGCGAGAACTGAACGACTTCAGTAGAAAAGGTCGACTCAAGATCCTCCTTGTAGGTTTCAGCGAGCCTATCAACTTGCTCTCTTAGTTCGTCTTGGCTTCCAGTTTCCCTAAGAAGTTTGAACAACTGAAATTTTTCACAGAGATCGGTATACGCGGCTTTCCGAGTCCTCAGCGCTGAGCTCAGGTTATTGAGAATTACGTAAAACGTGTCTGCCTCGAACCTTCTGCTACCATGTGCCCTCGCAACCTCCTCCACTGCCGTGAGTTGCTTTGAGGTGTCTCGAGTGAGTTTACCTTGGTAACACTGCTCTACGCTTAGTGCCATTGCCTTCTCCTCGAAAGCTTCAAATTTAGGCAGGAGAGAACTCACGAACCCGTCAAGAGAGTTCAGCAGGTCAACAGCCGTTGATAGGTCTAAACCAGGTCTCTGAAGTGCAACACTGGTCTTGTCAAAACGCTCCATGATCTCGATCCAAAACGTTAACATAAACGCCGTTTTGAGCTTAGACAGCTCCTTGAGAAGAGATCGCGCTTCAATGCGAGTGTCGCAGGTCTCTTCTTTGTCGCCCATCATAGTCTGCAGATAATTTTGAATACGTCTGAAGTTGTTTACAATTTCTTTGCACGAATCAGCGTGCCTTGACCACCTCGTGTGAGATAGGCTTTTCGGGACAGATGGCTTTCCTCCCTGTTCTAGACTGTTGATAAAACATCTCCAGCGCTTTGGGGAGGCAGAAAAAAATACGTACAACTTCTGAGTAAGGATAAAAAACTTCACTGCCTCCGTACAACAGTCAACACTCCGAGTTCCTACTAGGTTTAAAGAGTGACCCGAGCATGGAACATAAACAGCGAGTTCGTTTTTCTCTTTTATCTGGGCTTGGAGACCCTTATACTTCCCTGCCATGCTGCTGGCATTGTCATACGACTGACCCTGCAGTTACCAATTGAAATGCCGTTCGTATCAAGAAGGGATAGTACTGTGGCTGCCAGGTACTGCCCAGTGTGCGATTCAATTGGAACAAATCCAATGAACCTATTGTGAACATTACCCAGCAAACAGTACCGAAGTACAACGGACAACTGGTCAACATGGGAAATGTCGGGAGTAGAATCCACAATCAGTCAGTAATATTTGGCACGTTGTGCCTCCTCGACAACTCGTTTCCTTACGGTCTGCGCCATCAAATCAACAAACTCGTCACAAATAGACTTCGAGATATACGACGGGTGACCTTTTCCCTTGTTGCCATAGCGAGCGATGTGATCGCTGAGAAAGGGGTCAAATTCCGCGATCACTTCAAGAATCCCTGAGAAATTTCCATTTCTCGGAGAACCGAACGCTTCTTCGCTGCCCCTAAATATCAGGCCTCGCTCAGCCAGCAATCTAATAACTGCCACGACACGCTTCAGTACTTCTTTCCAGTAGGCGCGTTGGGTTACAAAGTGTTGAACTAACTCTTTGTCAATAGTTGCACGAGCAGTAGAGCGAGCTAGCCACGCAACAACAGAATTTCGATGGTCAATGCTGTCTTCGTGGGCTCTCGCCTTTTCTTCAGCCTTTTTCCAATCACAAAGCCCATCCGTCGCAAAAGGACTGTTTGATGCAGCAAACAGCTTGCACATGAAACAATACACAGACCCGTTGGACTGAGAGTACAACAGCCAGTATCGCTCAAATACCCCCCCGTTAGCGGCCTTCCTCACAAAAAGTTGAGGGGACAGATATCGTTTCTGGCTCGTGTACTGTCTCTCTGAAGTGGGGTAATATTCCGATCGATTTTGAAAGTACCGCGGTCCTCTCTCGATACACGCGGTTCGAAATTTGTCAGGCACAGTATCAGGCCACTTAGCTGGATCGCTTTCAACGCTGATGGATCCTACCTCGAGAGGTTGCGGAGTCAAATCCACGCACTCGTCAGAATCGCTGGGTGGTGACGTAACTGTTCTTGCGACATCCTCACTTCCATGGACAGCGAACGGCTCCAGTACAGTTGCCCGCAGACAGTCTCCGACGCCTGTGGAACACTGTTCAGCACGCTGTTGGAAGGGCTCCTGGACCTTGAGACAATTTCCCATGTCTGTGGTGGCGGGTTTCTGGGTGGTCCGTGGTAGCAGAGGCTCACGCGTCACAGGAAGGGGGCAGGGCAGAGGAGGTGGATCAGCTTCGTCACCAGTTTCTTTGGCATGATCGGTGGATTGCTGCACTTGGGAGTCAGCTTTTAGTTTTGGTGATCCCGATGATAGAGGCTCATTCGAAGATGTCTTAGGGCAACTGGCTAAATATTTAGTCAGCTTTGGCAACCTTTTCTGACTTTGTTCCCTCTCGAACTTCGTTTTTTGTTTAGCAGCTCCACTCAGATACTTGCGACCTGACATTTGGACTCCGACTTGGAAGGATTTGTCCCGCCGGAAAAACAAGGCCTCATCATATAGCGAGTTTTCGTAACTTTAAACAAAACGCTAAAATGGTTGGTGCAGACGAACGAAGTGATATGATTGGCTATCTTCTACTCTCACTCTCTAATTCAACAAAATCGGCCAACCTGCAACTGAAACGTAAAGTCCAGTAGCTATAAGACCGTCATTGATAGGCTGTTCGAAGAGTTCCCTTTCTTTCTTTTATTTCTGGGAATCCTGAAAATTACTACCATGTTCTGCTTTTTTCTTGGGGGCTGATGGTATCTCTACAGGCTTGTCATAGGCAGGGCTTTCAAGCTCATTGTTACGGACAAAACTGTCGCTTCCCTAAAAAGTCGTGTATCGAAAAGGAATTCCTCCGCGCCACCCGGACTCAGCTTCTCGCGAAGTGGAATCATGTGTGCATCCTTCGGCATAAACAATCGTGCACTTGCCTAGAGGGCCACCATTGTTCGTAAAACTAACGCTCCGAAATAGCCTCAAAATAAAAAGATTTACCATTCCCGTCTGGTTTAAGCTAGGGAGCACTCCGGCAAGACCACCGCGGAGGCGGCATGCAGCTTTGTTCCCTTCCCCAGCAGCGTCAAAGGCCGCACTTTCAAAGTGTAAGCGCTGCTCAAACACGTGTTTTCGCGCACGAGACACGAGCCCGAGTAGGGTGAAGGGGGAGGTGTTTATGACATTTCCCTTCCTGATTAAAAAAGAAAAGAGGAGCGAAAACCCCAGATCGTGGGGCCTCTCGCGTGTTTTCTTCGTTTGCTCGAAGCCGCTTTCAAAAGAAAGCGGACAAGCACCCTCAGGGGCCGGTCACCCACCCAAAGGGCCGGCTTTGTACAGGGACAGGGGTGTGCTACGCGAAGTGCGCGTTCCCTCTTCTCGAATGCTGCGGCAAAGCAACATCGCTTTCTAAAATATTTTTAAATTTCGGCTTTTTTTTTTCTACGAGCTGCATGGGGGCCCCCAGAGAGTCGGGGGCCCGGGGCTGCAGCCCCCTTAGCCCCTGGCTTAATCCGGCCCTGAGTCCCACCAACGAGACGGAACGGTTCGTGCATACAGATGCAGTTCCGTCATTCTCTGGACTTCAAACTTGGACGCGCGATTTTCGAAGTGTTCTGCAGTTACCACAAGGCAACCCTACTTTATGTCCAATAAGATTGTTTAACAGGTTCACGAAATGCTCTCCACTTAATACACCCTCATTGGTTCCAAAACGCTATGTAATTTTCGTCCGGTGTGTGACGGCTGGCTTACACAGCCCCGTTTTCATACGTTACATCACTTTACGGAAGCTTACGTTTACTTGCGCACAAGTCACCGGGACATCCGTGCTTCATATTAGACGTGGCCAAACCAGTTCAAGGAGATAGCCTTTCACGCGAAATTTGACACACGAATGTTTCGCTGACTTGTACGTAACGTTAGAAAACGTGAGAAAACGAGACTGTGTAAACGAGCCTTTACTCGGTTTAAGACAAAACGCCTTTGCGGACTCTAAGGTGTGCGCCTGCACCTTTTTTCAATTAGTCCGCCTGCTCCGAAATGACACCTTATTGGCTCCGACCTCAAACCTCGGGTGTCGTAGTGTTTCAACCTACCGGTAGCGTAAGTGCTAACCAATGTTTGCCAGTTTCTTTCTCTGCTGCCCCTGCTCTCGTTCACGAACTTCTTCAATCGCCATCTTGTTAAAAGCGGGGCTCACTTTGGGAAACAAGTAAGTTGGGTTGCAACTATGAAGGACGAGCAAAAGAAATCTCTTCTATGCACCTGTGCTCTAACATCTTCAACACCCGGTCAATGTGAGCAGGCACGTCTTTAGTGAAAAAGCAAGCATCTGCAATGGCTATAATACGGTCAGATGAATAAGGACAAATACACAACGCACAATACGCTCCCTCGTTTCCTTTCTTTTTTTTCTTTTTTTACCAGGGGCCATGAAGTGCTCGTTTACTCGATATACCGTATACGTATAAAAATATACATTTAAATAAAAATACTAAAATAAAATAAAGGTGCCGTAAACTTTTCTGGACGTTACATTAATGAATCTAGTCGTCCTTCTCAAAATTATGCATTCTACCAGGCTGTACGAGCACGTTGATTAGCAAGTAAACAATTGCCGTGGGCACGTTCTGTCCTAAGCATAACGTATCCCCGCCCCAATCGTATTTTTAATCTCTGGTAGCATAGAAAGCGAACACCGGCGGCAGAAAAAAAGAAATGAAAGGATAAGATAGAGAGCTAGGAGAATGTAAGTCGAATGTGAGTTAGGAAATACGAGGGAAAAAATTCCGGCAAACCAGCCACGAAAGCAGTGCCGTTGCAAACATCCTTGGGCGAATTCTTGTGTCCTCGCTTTTTGTAACCAGGCCGCGCTAATGAGCGGTACGCGAGCGCATTTCACCAGGACTTCCAACGCCTCGGGCAAAAAGAATTAACGCTTTAAAAAAATACAAGAAATATATATAGCAAATTCAACGTGTATAACATGGAGCGTGAAAGGGAGCAAGGGAGTGAGCTCGGAGAAGGAGGGTGGCTGGCTGGCTACCGCTCTTTCAACGCGTTTCCCCTTTGAAGACTTCTTTTCCGCAGGACATTCCCCAGCTCCGGAAACTCAATTATCCTGATTACACTTGAATTCCCGGCGGCCCGAAGTCGAGCTGGACTCTCATCGCAGAGTCGCACGTGAGCGGCGCCCGGATGGACTCAAAATCGTTAGGACCCTTTTGAGAGAGACGAAACAAGAAGGACGAACTCAAAAACTCTGTCGGAAGCGCTGAAAAAAAAATGTAAGAAAGGGAAATGCGAAAAGACGAAGGAAGGATAGGCACGCAGTAATGGCGCAGGAAGCAAATGCTGAACAAACGCTATCGCAAAAAAAAAAACAAAAAAAAAAAAAAAAACGTTAACGATTTGTTTGCGAAGTTTTGTGTGACTCGAGGAGAATGCGCAAAATGGGCTTGGTGATGCGCGGACGCAACGCCCACATTCGTAATACTCCTGTGCGGCGTAGCAAGACGAATGGCTGCGAGCACGTGTCAGATTCCTTTAGGACAGTATACTGTCTTTGCGCGAGTGCTCGTGGCGACGGTTCATAGCGCAGGACTTATATACACTTTCGTGTCGGTGTCTTCGATAACACAACACGCAAAT